ATACAAAATTTACTGCGACTAATAATTCGGGCTGGTGATCGAACACCACATCCGACTAATGATCGACAAAACCTGGCACAGATTTCTGATGTGCAATGCAATAATAATAATAAATTTAGAAATTTCTCAGTGATCGACTTGCGCCGCATCGAAGAAATTAGCTCGACTGAATCGCTGTGCGCCGGCGCATCCTAGTCGGCTTGAAACACTATCCCTTGCTCAAGATTTGTGACATGCATGCGAAAAACGCGTACTATTAACTTTCCGCCAAACGATCACCTATGCAAATACTCATGGACGATCGATCATTCTATGATTTCAAGATGGATAAAAGACGCGTCTAAATTTCGACACATATAATAAATATATAACGCTTGAATCTAAACTGGTGCTTATTTATAGTGGTGCTTATTCATAATTTTCTTAGACGAACTGTTTCGCCAAACTTGCTGTTTTAACGTTGCAGTCATTTTATCTACAACAAACAGCGTCTCTGTTATCGTTCCTTATCGCTCAAGTCATTATATACTGTTCCTTGCAGATGAACAATTCTAACGAAAGCGAAATCCTTGAGTATTTTGAAGGATGGGACCAGGCTTTAAACTCTGAAAGTTTAAGTCTGCTTTCCCTACTGGAGTTCCGGAAGAAGAAGGATAGTTTTACATTTGACAAATGCGTTGAACACAACATCATTATCAAGTTCTTGGCAAATCTTGCCAGCACAGCAGACAAAGAGTGGAGACAGGCAGCTTTCCTGCTAAAGAATGAACTAAAGGTAAATATTCTTTGCTTTAGCCTGGTATTGAAAGAATAATCCAGAGGTGGCAGGTGGTGAGGATAAGGAAGAGGTCGGACAACTCGTCGATGCAACCACCTAAGCAACCAGATAACTCATTTGGTTGGTACGTGAGAACTCCTCCGGTGGGCTTTTTCCTAAGTCTGCGTGAAGGTCAAAGAAAACTCTTCCGAGACCAAGAATAACTCATTCATTCGCAGTCCAGTGATCCACTTGCTATCTTATGATATTAAAAACAATTTTTCAATTTCAACAGAAGCAAGTCCAACAGCAGGCTGTCAAGTCATTTTGGCAAAATGTCGAATTAGAAAAAATTGACATGAACATGCTTCTAATGAATAAAAAGATGGAAGAAGCTATGGTATATTTGTAGTTAGTATGATTGCCATATTGCCTAAGCTGTGTTAATATTAACTCTGCTGAATATGAACATGATTAGGTCAAGTTTGATCTCGACCAATCACTAACAGGAAACAAAGCCCAGGAAGTATTGAATAACTCAAAACTGGAGCATCTCAAGAGGAAGGTGGATGTGGGTACACAGTCAAGAATACATCAGCATTAAGTTGTGAACCTTTTGTTTATGCCTTTAAACCTTTAATGTCAGATGTCACCTCCACCACAAGCAAAAAGACGAATTTTAGATGACACAGAGAGTGACCATGAGAATAATCGTGACATAGGAGATGGGACATCTTTAGCAAGATTCAATCATGAAGTCTCTAATACACAAACATGGTGTTTGCCAAAAAACAATTCTCCACTGGTATGAACTATTTATCATAACTGATAAAATATAGGGCCAACAGATTATTGCTTTAACCCATGTATATCATTTACTGACAAACAAGCGGGGGAAAAGAACACTTTATAACGTTGTGCAAATACCAAAGCCACCTCAATTCAATCCCATATACTCAGACAATGAAGAAACTGAAGGCGAGGATGAAGACGATTACGGGGGTGGAGGCGATTATGACGGCGAGCACTATGATGAAAATGTCTTAACTCGATCCAAACTCGACGTCTGCAACACGAAAACATGGCGGCTACCTTCCAACACGTTCGTTGACGATATTTTCAACCGAAATGTAAGCAAGAATGCTGAAACTATGAAGCATAAAGGAAAACCGACAGCCATTCAAAAAGTCTTTCTTCGATACGGAGCGTCAAGAATAATCGACCTTTCAGCGCATATGAGAGAATGGTTCTCTATTGAAGAAAGACAATATATGATAAAAGACCACGCAGCAATCGTAGAGATTAGGAAATTGCCATCAGAAGTAGATGCGTTTATCGCAAACGTCGAGAATGTAGGTAGCTGTTTGTTCTGTTTCTTATTCGTAATTATCTTATAACACATACGTTTCCTTTGCTGGACAGATGGTGCATCGTGGTGACATAAATCCCGCGTACAAACTTTCTGTCGAAAGTCATGCAAATTCGTCGCCCCACAGCTGTTTCAACAAAATAACCAAAGTTTATAGTGAGTTGTAAGTGTTTATTGAGATTTGGCATTCTTCCATAACTTTAGAGCTGTTATTTATGCATTTACAGTCTTTATAGGACCAAAGAAGGTAATGATATCCTAGAGTCCGGCGAACACGGACACACGGAAATAGATGTGATATTAAAAGCATGTTCGTATATCATAGATGGACTTAACAAAGCTTGTGGCGTATATCAAAAGTGGTATGTCGGGAATTGTGATTGTGTTTCTATGTAAGGTATGATTTTTCTATTTAACTATAATGCGTGGTTGTTAGGGGAGAATCGTCTTGCCCTCTCACCAAGTCAGCGAACTATACCAAAGGTCGAAAGTGCGATGTACGCAATCTCAGTACGTCAGAAGTAGATCTTGGCGAATGGGAATTTGCCGTTAATGCAACGCCCACAAAGACAATTACGGATCGATGCAGATCAGCTAGGATTAATCAAACAATCCTGAACGGATTAATGAATTTGGTTGTTAAAAACGAACATATTGAAGTCATGAAAGTGCCATACATGCAATTTGCTGGTACCAGTGGCCAAATGCTTGTGGAAGTTCGGATTAATGGATTTTATGTTGTGATTCCTGGACCAAAGATCGAATTGCCTAAGAAGCTCTCACAAATTGCAAAACTGAAGCCAGCAGTAATGACCATCAAGCATATCTTGGTAGGTACTTTTTTGTCCTTTATCATCGTCAAAATACATGTCTCACTCAAACCATTCACATAGGACATGTATGACGAAATGAACAGATTTCTTAATGATTTAGAAGTTGGGAAATCTCATGCTTTCGACGACATTTTTAAAATTAATGAACCTAGTACAAACAATTCTGCATGCGATCCATGGTGGACACCAAAGAATGCTCGTAAAACTCAAACAAAATCTTAGCGCCAATGAGAGGGGGAACAATGAGGAGTGAATGTAAATCAGAAATAATCCTGAAGTCTGTAAATAAATGAAATATCAAATACTTGCGAATATTGTTTTTCGTAATGGTTATAAAAACGAACAGCGATCTTTCGCAGAGATTTCTTTTTGCCCAAAACACTTGCAGAAATTATTATGTAACTACGAATATACGTAACAGAATATTGAATCTCTATGTGGTTTTGTTGCAGTCCACCCCATATCGATATAAATTCGATTAGTATGATGCTGCACCAAGTTTTTATAACGTTCGGGTGACTTGCTAAATGTGGGATTAAGAAATCTGCAGGAGGAGGCGTCGATAATTATGACCCAATTTTGTTGTGGCGGTATTTTATTATGCCAGATTCAGTGTTTTATGCCAATTTGTGTCTTCCCAATAATGTCCAACACTCCGGGCACTCCCGGGTATGCAGGAACGTCCTCCTTCCTGCAACGCCAGGATCACCACTCCGTTCTCAACATTTAGGCCAACATGATGATTCCTTCGGTTCATATTCGCCCTATAACATTATTATTATTAGTACTTGTCGTATGACTAGTCCGAGTACCTACATTCTTTGTTTGCTCGAACATTGATTGTCTCTCAATTGTCACACAATATAAGTCTAGCCATACTAACAGTGATTGTTATACTGCCATAAAGAACAACAAGATGTGCTTTATGTGTTTGAAATAATCGTCAAAAGAAAAAGGATTCAGAGGTAAATCAAACGGTTTTTGTCTAGACTTTTAACAAATCGAGCCTACTTTTATGAGCGTATGAGGTTACTATAAAAGCAGCGGAATCTCTCTTCATTATACCTAACAATCGCCAATTTAAATTGATCGTAAAATCAATTGTAAAAGCTATCTAATCAATTTTGACTTAAACAATTTAAAAATGCCCATTTTCACCGGCGAATTTTATTGTGGATTAGTGATCGGGCTTATCTTGGTTTCCTGCTTTATTATAAACTCCACAAAAATAAACTTTACGTCATAAATCAAAAAATTGATAAAATAATCAATTTAATCGAGCCTAAAAAAAGGCATAATAACAAACCAAGTAAACCATTCGGCGAACGAAGTTACTTTACCAGATGTCGAAAAACTGTGGAAGAGAAGAACTTTAAAAATCTGTTTGACAAAAAGGCCGGGCTGGATCCGAATTTTCATTTAATCAAATGGCAACTGAAATCCGCGAATTACGCGAAGGAAAGTTAACGAATGCGCTCAAGCAGTCCTTTACCAACAAGTCAAAAACTATGAGGAACGATCTTTCGTTGATAGGTCGCTTGATCAGTAGAGATCTTGGTGGGAAGCGTTTACGTTAAAATTACTTGTGTTTCTTCTAGTTTTCGCTTCTTTCTTGGTTCATCATGTGTTGGCATTAATGCTCGTTTATTAGCTATGATTTTCCTTTCTTCTTGGTAAATTTCATAAGTAATTTTTTTTATCTAGATATTCCTGGAGAGTTTGGGTATCATTGATTTTAGAAACATAAGGAGCAATTTTTTCTCCTTGAGCTTTCTTTAAAATGCTTCTAATAGTACTGTAATTTTTTGGTTCCATGGTGGATTTGATGTAAATTAATTTCATATTTATATATTTTTTATATAGAGATAGACCTATATGAGATATAGTCCTAATTATAATGATAACTGCAAGCAAAACGTTTATCAACAAGTTTTACAATTTGATATCAGACACGGGCCACAGTTGTGCCGCTAATTCTAAATCAAAGCTTAAAAATTTTTCTCATGCTTTTAATATATGAAACAATTTTTTCACGGTTTACATATAAAAATGGAAAATTTCCAGCTATATACATATTCATATTTCCAACTTTTATACCCATTTTAAAGTTAATGAACAATTTTAAATAATGGAAAAAATTTTATATATGTTTCACTACATAATTGCGATACTTGTGAGGATACTACATAAATGCATTCCATGATGCCATGACATTATAATTTAAAATCCATATTTTATAATTAATATTTTTCACTGATCTAAACCATTTTATATAATTAAATATCTTCTATTGCTTTTTAACATCTATGTACTAACTACCAAATAATGAAATCGTAGTATACATTAAAGAGTAATAAAAGGAGAATTTCTATTTTAAAAATACATTGATAAAAAAATATTTAATGATGAGATGACAAACGAAAAAATAATTGAATGAAAAAATGGTATATTTTTTTTTTTAGGTAATCAAATGTTCATCTTCGCCTTTCCTTACATAACTAGGAGTTCTAGCCGTCGGAGGTCTTCCATCGGCATTCAGTAATCCTGTACGTTCAGTAGGTGAATCCGTGGATAATGGTTGTCCATCACGACCAAGAAGCGATTCTGTGTCACCACCAACGTAGAATGGACCATGACCGAGACGTTTGGCTCTAAAGTGCCAAGCGATGCACATAACAAGCAAGATGCCTTGAAGACAGCCTGTGACTAAGAATACAATCCATGAAGTCCAATTTGTTCCTGGCCTGACAGCCAATGAATAAACAAATAAGAAAGATCCCGGTGTTTGCATAAGCATCATCGGAATGCTAAGAGCTCCAACGGTCTAGTTATTGATTAGTTCAGTTAATTAATTGTATTTAGAAGTAAGAATAAAATTTTCGATTGAAGAGACAGGATTTAAATACCTTTCTTCGCCAAGTTCGCCAAATTTGTGGCAAATATTGAACGGAAGCCAATAACATTGACGCGACACCCAAGAAATCGGCCCAATATTCCGCTTGCGAACTTCCATTGTAGAACGACAATAGATATATCGAAATAGCACTAACCAGCAAGAAATGAGCGGTTACTGTGACGGCAATGCCAAGAGAAATTCGCCATTCAAGTGATCGAGTTGATGGTGGATTTCCGTAATGTAAATGTGGAATGTACTGTGTAAGCTTACGATGTTCCGGGAAATAGGCAAGAAAGAGAATGAAGCTGTACAGGTTGGAATGAACATTTTCAAGTTATAATAATTTAATCTCTTCCAATATAAAAATCAACAGTATCATTTATAAATAAACCAAAAGGGTACATTATTGTAAACATTAGCCATTGTAATCCGATCTGAAATACTCCAAGTGTATTCTTAAAACATTGACCAGCACTCTAATTAATTTATTAGAAACAAATTTCGTAAGTTATATATTGTAACTGGCTAGACAAGACCAAACACTTCGTTATCACACTTACAACAATCGCACAACACTCGATCATTTGATATTGCAAAATAATCATGTTATATAAACTTGAAGTGCCCGACAATGTTCCAAGTAACAAAAACCATGGACTCAATCCTTCGCTACTTTTAATTCGGATAATTCGAAAATGCTTATTTATAGAATTAAAATTTAACTATTAGCTAAAACTTAAAGAGTCCATTAATACAGAGAGAGGAAGAAAAAAAAAAATCAAACCTGTGGTAAGTAACTAACTAACAGACCACATGCAATAAAAACACCTATGGCAACATCGATGCCCTTATGATCGATTTCACAACTATCTAACTTTTGTATTGAAAACATTCCCATATTGATTCAGAGGGCTGCTATAATATAAAAATGTTGGTAGGTGAAGGTTAAAAAATAAAGTCAAGAATTGAATGGAGGCGTGTATATTTGTAGTTTTTTGTGTCAATATCAGAGTGTATGAGTTACACCGCTTTAGTTTTTGGGGTGAAAAGAAAAGTGTTAGATACGCGAGATATCAGTTACGTTTCTCAAGATGATGGATTATTAAGATGTAACACGACATTAGCATCGTCAGTCTATTATGCAGGGCACAAAGAAAATACAACCAGAAAGCAGTATATTTGATATGAAATTTTTTATAAATGGTCTCTGGCGTGGCTTAAAGTTTCAAAAAATCTTGATCAGTCAATTTACGCGCGACTTTTCCCGTTTTCTTTGTACTTTTGTCCCGCCCTCGGTATATGAAAGCTTTTTAGCCCCCATTGAACTGAGGAAAAATTCAATTCCATAAAAAGAATAAGCATCTTTGATTTTCCTTTTCCAGCCTAGATTTGCATAATAAGAAAGATTTTTCTAATGCTGGTCAAAATTATGATTAACCAGAATCTCGGTTTTACGCGCGTCATAAAACTTGAATCGCGCTATTATTATTATTATGAAGAGCAAAAAGACGACAGCGAAAAAGACTAAAACATCCAAATCAAAAACATCTGCTACTGCTGCTTCGTCTTCTTCTTCAAAATCAACAACAAATGCGACTATTGCTTTAAAGTCGCAGGAGGGAGGAGGAGGAAGAAATGCAAAAACAAAAGCTACATTAACAACAAAAACAACAGAAACAATATACGATACGATCGTTCCCATTGTAATTGATGCTCCTTTAACATCAAATAACAATAAAGGTAAAGATAGACGGCGCTCCAGTCTTGACAAGAGGGGTAAAAGGTCTTCCTCTTCTCTCACAGGAAAGCTTTGTATGTATCTGAATATACATTATTATCTAGTGGCATCCTTTTTTAATTCAATCCCTTTATTAAATTATTTTCCTTGATTATTAAATACAGTAAAATTACATGCTAATCTTGACGAACATGAATTCTATCGTCATATTGACCCTCAATTACCTGGTCCCATAAAAATGAAAAACTTAATTGTATGGTGTGGGCAACGTGCTATCGAGAAACAGAAAACACAAGAGAGTTCAAGTGAAAAGCATATTCTTAATATTGGTAATATTCTCAAGATTATTTTTTGCTTTTTGAAAAATTTCTGATCGTTTGCTATTGATAAACTGCAGCAAAAGTAGTACAGGAAGATATTCTTTCTAAATTGATGAACGGTGATATCAATCTCTCGTGGTATCATAGAAAGGTCGGCTCTTGTTTATTTGATTGTGCGACGACGCTATTGAAAGTTTACATTCAATATCTACATTTGCAATTTATTATTATTATTAATATTCTTCTTCTTCTTCTTATTATTATAGGGTAAACACGCAAAAGAACCACCAAAACAACAACATCCACGGAATATCCAAAATGAAAATCGACTAAAAGATTACGAAGAGACATTAGCAAAGTAATCTTTTTTGTTTCTTATTGATACGCGATGACGACCACAAAATCTGATCTCTTTTAAAAAATTTAGTTTAAGAGCCGAGGATCAATTATGGACAAAGTTAGCACAAAAAGTGAATTCGTTACATGCCTCTGTGATTGACACTTGTGCAGCAACACCATCCGGAGAATCATTGCACGCAATGGTACTTGACGACGTGGATACACTGATACCGTTGTTGTCCGAAGGAGAAAAAAAATATATTGATCAACTTGGTTCTGAAGACTATGTAGATTTAATTAAAAATAATGACCATAATGGTAATGAACGTCCGAGTATGGATGAATTTTGTAGTGAATTTAGAATTCAGGTATTTTATTTATCAATTAATCTACAGAGTGAAAGCCGATGCATGATTCGGCTAAGCGACCATTTTTCGGAACGAGATATAAAACATGAAAATTTGTTTTTTTATAGCGGAACGGACAACATGGGATGATGCGGTCTATTATATCGGCTTTCACTGTAAAATGATTTATTGTTTAACTACATAAAAACTTCTAATCTTTATTTTAAATTTAGATTGATGAATTCTATCAATTGCTTTATAAAGCTCATGTATTTGAGGATGCGACACAGGATTATTGTGAGGATATGCTGATGAAGTTACGCAACACATTGAAAAAAAAGGAAGGTGGTTTTGATGATATAGGCAACGACATTGGTTCTAATAATGCTAATATTAATCTCAATAATGGAGGTGGAACAAACTTAGAAATCAAGGATGTATTAAGGGCATTAGCTATAAACTGTTGAGAGGCCCATATTTTCGTGTTATTTATGATTGCTGCGGTAGCTTTTGCTATCAAAAACGTTAAATATATAATATTATCTATATCCAATATGTCTCGTCAATCTGTTGCTTTATTTTGACTAATCTATGCATAAGATATCCAATACTGCGCCAAAATGTCAAATTTTCTTGTAGTTCTTAATAAAACTGGCCAATCAGAATTTAGTATATTATTTTTCCTTTTAAAATTATAATACAGTGGATAGCTTATGCTGTCCCCCACCACTATACGTCTCAGATAAATATACTGTTTGGGCAGGAGGGAGGCTGGAGAGACGGAATTCGTAATTATTAGTTCAAGGAAATACTCGTGATCATTTGTAAGTGACGAAAGATGGTGGCCAATCAAATCGCAAGATCAACGTATAACACAAAAATGTAGAGACATTAATCAGGTGCTTTATTTGATTGGCTGAGTATTTATAAGGGAGGTGGGTTCATTTTTTGATCAACATAATTGTATCTATATATAGATATATTAGGTTCCTAAAAATCACCTGATTAATGTTACACTGGCCCTCTGGAAACAGAGATCTAATTGGTGGATACGGTCTATTTGTGAACACGTGGATGGATCTTTGTGATTAATATTATACGTAAATAACGATAATGTTTGGCGAGATATTTGTCCAAGATGCGGAATATCAATAATTAATTATTGGGTATGTAGGCAAATTTTTTTATTATTACGATGAATGTGTTGGTGTGTATACATGAAGATTATCTAGTCTTTTAACACTGATGAAGTGTATGTAGGTGAGATAGTTTTTGAATCTATATATGATGTATGTATGTATATGTATGTATGTATGTGCGTGTGTGTGCATTTATATATGTAATAATAATCGGTTTACTTAACATCATAAATTGAAAGAGAAAGGGAAAAAAGCTTTAGAAAGAAACCAAAAGATAAACAGCTTATTATTAAGGGATGATGGCAATGCAAAGGATGTCGAATCAAAGAGGAAAAAAACGAATTTTTTGAGTGGGTGATAATTAAACTTGATATGAAAAAAGTACACACGACGCAAGGGTGATTGTGAGATCGGGAAATAGAAATCGGTGCAATGAAATAATAGTGGATTATACAATAAGAAAAAAAAATAAACCAAGTAAATTAATAGACAAACACACACGTCTATATATCAGTACTAGATTATTATTATTATTATTATTTACATTAATTATATAAAATAAAAGAGAAAGGAAGGGGATACGCAATATAATAAATGGACAATGGAGAATTAATAGCGAGAAAAAGAGACGTCCTCCTCTTGTTTGCATTATGTATAATTTGACGGTAAGCAAAAAATAATATTTTTTGTTATGTCATCGTTGAATCGACCATCTCACCGATTTTATAGTGTTTTTGACTGATGTGGTTTTTGTTGTTGTTCTAATTTACAATATTTTTGCATTCCATATATTCATAAGAAAGTAAGATTCAAATTAATAAAATTTGATCATATTGATCATAGCACCCACGGAGTACGTAATAGTTATTGATCAGATTTCAACTTAATCGCCTGCTACTTTCATGTTCTTCTTCCCCCTTCATCATTGCTAAACGATGAAGACTGTCTTGCTCACCACGCGGTTCTATTCTTAATCGCTTTGAACGTTGTTCTCTATCGAGAATAATAGTACTAACACGTGATGATTTCGACATCGCCATCGGATCAGTGGAATTTTGCGAAGTGGGAGTAGGCGCGGGAGCAATAATAACTGGTGAGGATTCCGGTCGTGGACGTAATTGTGGCTGCGATTGCGGTTGCTGCTGGTGTTGTTGCTGTTGTTGCTGTAATGCTGATAATTGACGTTTTCGCGTTAATTTTGCGAAATCTAATTGATTGATCAATAAAGAAATTAATAATTATAGTTCTATTTGAAGAACGATACTCTACGATTTAAGTTAATGATGATATTTACGCAGTCCACAAGCATTACATAATGTCCTCGCGCCATCTGGACCACGGCGCCACTCTGGAGTCTCGGAAATATTACACGAGTGACATCTTCCCGGAGGTGCGGCGCGCTTCTGAGAGTACAACTAAATGAGTAATTAATCAACCAAAAAATAATCACACAACTTTTCGATTATGTTACTTACACTTCGTTTTCGGTATTTTGTTCGCGGTGATGCAGTTATGCTAGGTCGTTTATTCCTGATAATGTTATCCGTTTCAATCTAATCATATATATGTATATATATATATATATATAAAATATACAATTAGTTAATACATATAGAACACGATCAACTGATTTTATGACTCAAATTATGAATAAAAATGGATTTTACCACTTCATCAGATCTATTATTACAAAGATCATTTTTCATATTGCTCAATACATTAACAACATCCCATGCTCTCGATATCATTTCGGTCACCATTTTCTCGGAGAAAACAGAAAATTGCACACCGTTAGGTGCTAGCGATGCCGATGAAGATGTATGATGCCACGAGTTTGTCGAAAATGCACCACCAAACTTATTAGTTCTAGATCCAACGTGCAAGTCAAAGCATTGTGCTGCAAATTGTCCAATCATATTACAATTTTCCACCACCTATAAAGTAATAATATTAGTAGATATCAATGAAAATAGATAAAAGATCGCATAATATTATCTTACCTTCTCGAGATCAGCATTTTTTTCAATAGGCCAATTTAGAGATGAATGCTCCTTACCGTTAAATTGTGGCGGAGAATATTGTTGGGGTGATGGTTGTGGTTGTGGAATCTGCGAATCTTGCGGCTGTGGTGGCTGATTAAAAAATGTACCACCAGCCATATTAGGTGATGACATTGGTCTACCCCAAGCAGAGTTACTATTATGGCTTCCTAAATATTTGCAATTTAAAAAACGTTAAAATATTTCTGTTTATTTTTTTTCACGAATTTATTTTTTTTACCTGATTGAATAAGTGTGGCGGATGATTGTCGTGGCGTTGATGGCTGATGATGTGATGCAAAGTTCGGATAAGGTGAAGATTGACGAACATCGTTATTTTGTAGGATGGATGGTAAACGATGCGATTGTGCATTGTTATTTGTCGACAATGGTGGAGATTCACGTTGGTTAAATGAAGATTGCTCATTTATCGTTAAATAGGGTTTTGATGTTAACGCGTTATTAGGTGAGGATCCGGAGGGTATAGAAGGAGATGGAATTTGACTACTAGATGATGATGTTGACGATGGAGGAAGAGGATGATATGGTGACGAAGGTTTATGATGATGATGAGGGGGATGGTGATGATGGTGATGATTTTGAATTTGATTGTCGTTATAATGATGATGGGGAAGATCAAAATTATTATTTTTTTGAACTCCAGTTAGTGACGACGTAAAACGTGGTAATATAATGGGTGGAAGCGCTGGGGGTGGTGTCGGAGGAGTAATAGAAGAACTATTCTTTTCATTGTCGTTAATAGTAATCTCGGGACTATTTTCATGTCTAATATTTCATTAAAAATGATTAATATCGGTAGAAGAAAATAAAGAGCACGCGTCTACATAACGAAAAGAAAAAAAAAACCACTTACCGTTGCAATTTTGGTGGGTTAGGCGTTATCATCATCAAAGTCTTTAAGTTATCTGTTGTAGTTGTTGGTGATGATGATGATGATGTTGTTGATATCGTTGCTGTTGCTGTTGCTGTCGTCGATGATGGAGTAATTGTCGAAGTCTTTGAAGAGGATGAACCATGAATATCGTAGCCCACAGAAGGATAACACATTGAAGCAACGTCCATTTTTTGTAGTTGTTGATTTTCAAAATCAAAAATCTTTAATTGCTTTATAATTTTCAGCGATAGAGGACCAAAAAAAAAAAGAGGAAAGCGAATTAACTATTATTACTTAGCTATTAATAAAAGCGCAAAAATGGACTCGAAGAGGAGAGAAAGGCAAAAGAATAAAACTTATTTTGGTTGCAGAGAATACCAAGACAACATTTAGTTTTTTTTTAGAAAAAAAGTGTTAAATGTCAGCGAAAAAAGGGTAATAACGATAATATGAATGAAGAAACGACGACAGTGCCGCACAGAAACAGAAAACAACCAACTAAAGCTAACTAGCCAACTACTGCAACAATAATATTTTTTTTATATTTTGTTGGAATAAATAATAGTTATTAGGAAAAAAATATATAAGGAAGAAAGTATTATTAGAAAATTGCAAGTTTGTTGTTGCGACTGTTATTATAATAATGGTGATAATTATAAATTAAAAAAAAATAAATAGAAATAACAATAATAATAATAATAATAATAATTATTATTATTATTATTATTACTAAGTAGAAAATAGTAAATAAAAAGCCGAGTAAAAGTAACAAACAACAGGTTGTTATCTCGCGATAATAGCGAGAATCACACACACAAGTAAGCAATAATGGTAGAAATTACAGTAAACTTAATTTATATTGGATGATGAATTAGAAGGAATTATTAAAAAAGCGTGGTTGAAAAAATAAACTTTATGTATATATGAAACAAGATGGCGAAAAGAACAGCGAGCACATATACGATGATACGTAAAAGAAGCGAGAAGAATGCAAAAAAAGAAGCAATAAAAAATCAATCTTTATCGAACGTGTGTATGTGTATGTGTTAATATAAAAAACATTATTATTATATAATGATAACACGTTAAAAAAGGTATATAAATCACGACGGACTTTTTTGTCGATCAGTTTAATAGACTTCGCGTCATTATTATATTAAAATTTATACAATCTATTATATTTTTATTATAAATGCGCGTTGACATAATGTTTACCGCTTGCCCACCCTATCAAATGGATGGTGGATTCAAATTTGGTAAGGAATCCTTTCAATTTATAATTATCTAATAGTAAATAAATTAATGCAATTCGTCAACTCTTTATTAATGCCGCCTTTCAAATACAGGGTGTACACGAAGTGTATAATATTTAATTTTTCGATCAAGGCCTAGACCTTTTTTTTTCGTTTCATCATACTGTTCTGGTTTTTTGTCCAATACATCCACAAACAGAAAACGGGAATCCTGAATTACAACGCTCACTCTTCATTCATTCATTCATAAATCTCTCAGATTTCCGTTCGTTCTCTAGTCTATTTTGGATAATTGATGTTTAAAAAGTAATCTGCTGCCGTTATTATCTCTCTCATACACTTACACGCATCAACTCGCATACATACACACACACATATACATCATATACATAAATATAACATCTCTTATATATGCTATTTATCATACAGCGTCTCTCCGTCTCTTTATTCTCTCGTGCTTTTTAACAAAGCAGGTTGCTCATGTGGAGAAAGAAATCTTGTATTCTAAAATAGGGAACCAACAATGAATAGATGACAAATAACTTTGATGAACGAGGCAGCAACACGAGAAGAACGCAAGATTTATTGGCACGAGATTATTAATAATAGCGAGAAGAATAACATTGGAAAAGATGATGATGATTATTACAACCACCATCTCCACAACTATCTAATAATAATAATAATAATAATAATAAATGATAAGAAGCAAAACAACAGTATATTGAAATTTTTTTGATTATTTATTCAAAAGAGATCGACATCTAAACTGTTCCACGAACCAAGAAACTAAAAAAAAAAAACGATGTAGTGTGTCTATATGTACGTAGGCGTAAAATTAGAGAGGAAAAAAACTATATATAGAGGAAAAATATGTGCAGATAGATATACACGTGATTGTTTTGTTGGAGGTGTGATTGCACAGAATGTATTTTAGTTTTAAATGTATAAATGCTAACTAACTATAAACCAACCGACAATGCTTATACAATTCGAAACATCAAAAATGCGAGATGAACGCTGCTATCTCGGCATCTTTATATATAGTTTTTGACCGCACAGTTTTTTTCTTGATCACCTCAAATTGTTTCAAAATGTAATCAGATATTAATTGCAAACATAAGATAACAACAAAATATTATTAATATTTCTTAATTCAATAAATTTTATATATCTATCTCACTTATTTATTTGTATTATTATATTTGCAAAATATTGAATATTTTGATCAGTTGAAGATATTCTAATATAGAATACTGTGATCGAGTAGGTGTTCAGTAGATTATATTATCAAAATCATTCTTCTTTAATAATGATTTGTTAATACCGAGATCTTTAATCGTATCCAAAGTTGAAGATGAATTTATTTAACTAAAATCAACAGTTTATTAATTATATATTTCCAAAATTATGCAAAGCTTAGAAATTCATTTTTAATTAAAATCTGGTTTTTTTATTAAGATTTGATTTTACTTTTGTCATAAGCATTGAATCTTTTTTGTTTTATCATTTTCAATTTATTAGGTGATAGAATTTCTATCAGTGAATCGATACATACCTAATATATATTTATTATGTTCTTACATACAATACCGCATGCGTGCATTGCATGTATGTTATGCGCATGGATGTACTTTTGGGATTTTCCGCGCACAAATGTTCAACTATGTCAAAATAAACCCCAGCCAAACTGTGTTACAAACCACTTCTGATACAATACTTAATTATTATTATTATTGCTACACAAAAAGGCAAGCATTAAAAATTTAGTTGATTGAATGTCTAATAAGACAGATCACCCTTCATGTCAAAAATCTTTGATTCCGTCATCTTCTTCGTTCTAAAGTCCGCCGAAGAAAATTCTCGCACATCAAATTGCCAATTTCGTGTGCATGCATAAAAGATAAATATTACACGCACACAATTATGGTAACATCAAGTCTTGTGTGTAGAACATGTGTACAAACACTATTATTACCCTGTCCGTTCCCCATCACAGATTAAATCGTATGATGATTCTCAGGGACGAGTAATCGTCTTGAGTACAAACGGGAAAGTTGAAGTGAAAGACCGCCCCCACTAACTCTCTTTAGATGAATAAAATTCTATCAATGAATATTCCAAATTTTGAAATTTTGAATGTTTAATAGATGAATAGTGAGATCCTATTGTTTGTTGCCGTTGTTGTGGTGGTTCTTGTTGTCGTTATTGTTATCTTTATCTGTAAAAATTTCTGTTAATATCGAGAGATTCATCTGTGCATGCTTCTGCTTGTTTCTTTCATTTAATCTGACGAAATGTTTAGATTCTAGATCTATCTGTAAGTTGAAACTCAATAAGATCCCATCTGCTGTTTGAAACTCAAAATCTGCAAAAAGCAAATCTTTTAGGTACTAATATAAGTAATTCGTGATTGATGTGCATTTAAACGTAACTCTAATAAACTTGTAGGAATTCAATAGCATCGCTGCTAATAACCACCACCACCTCCTTCTATTTGAGTTTTTCATAGTTGCAAAAAACTCTATCTTCGTGTGTCTCTCTCTCGGTGATTATACCTATTTTTAATTTTTCATTACGCTAAAAGAAAACCATGATGAAATGCACGTTTACAAAGAGTTATTTTAATTCATCTCTTTGTAAAAAGAAAATTGTAACAGGAAATCCTGACGATATCGAGTTTAATTATTCCTCCGACCTCCTTATTTTGTATTTTAGGTAAGAAACGGACAAAACGGTGTATCACACCATCCTTCTTTATTTATGGAGAAAAATGTCCATGCACGAAATATAAGAAAAACTCTAGTTGCTGTTTCAAATTCCAATAGTTAATTGTGGTAATATGTAAGAGAGTGTGAGTTTCAACACGGCGGATTTGAATCGAAGAACAAAAATAGGTTAGCCACGATCTTTTTTGACAAAGCGTACAAAAAAAAGCGAGCGAACGAGAGATATTTAACAATTACACAATGCAAAGCCAATAAAATACTAGTGAAAAAAAGGTGAAAATCAATGAAAGATACCCCCCAGAAACTTAATTTTATACATATTCGTAGAAATGGTAGGGCTCGGTCGGTCATATTTACGAAATTATTAACAAAAAATCAAACCGGAATATCTACAAAATAGTAATTGTTTTGGGTTCCGAATACTGTCACTGTGTGCATACATATATTAAAGGCAAAACTTTTAGTCTAGTTCTGTCTATAGTTTCATAAGTGACACGTAACATATATACCAATATAAATTAAATACATCAAATAACACAATGTATACCATACGTGTACATAAAACATTTTTCCGTTTTAACCGCTTTAGTTAAACTTCACTATTTATCCCTTATCTCACCACCTTACATCAGATAACGAAAAAAATGTTTTTTTCGTCCTTGCATTATTATTGTATTTTAGTTTTAAATGTATAAATGCTAACTAACTATAAACCAACCGACAATGCTTATACAATTCGAAACATCAAAAATGCGAGATGAACGCTGCTATCTCGGCATCTTTATATATAGTTTTTGACCGCACAGTTTTTTTCTTGATCACCTCAAATTGTTTCAAAATGTAATCAGATATTAATTGCAAACATAAGATAACAACAAAATATTATTAATATTTCTTAATTCAATAAATTTTATATATCTATCTCACTTATTTATTTGTATTATTATATTTGCAAAATATTGAATATTTTGATCAGTTGAAGATATTCTAATATAGAATACTGTGATCGAGTAGGTGTTCAGTAGATTA